TTTAACCAATTTTAAAAGTTTGAAATGGGTGTGCATTGTACAAATTCTTATAAGGGTTGCTGCATATCGCACCAGTCCCCATTCAAATCAATGGGAAAATGGTTGTTTTTTCACTAAATCGTTATTTTTTATGACTTTCTGACGTTCGAATTTTTTTTTTTAATTTGTGTAAAGAGGCATCCACGTACATTTAAATTTTGCCAAAAAAATGGGGGGTCACTGACCAAATAAGAGAACTATGCCAAATTGAGGTGCATTACACCCTGCGTGACGCACTAATCCCCATTCAAATCAATGGGAAAATGGGCGTTTTTCACCAAAACGTTTTTTTTTGTGATTTTTCTAAAGTTTGAATTTTTTTTTAAAAAACTTTTTTGTAAAAAGTCATCCAAGTTCATTTAAATTTTGTCAAAAAAATTGGGGGGTCACTGACCAAATAAGAGAACTATGCCAAGTCAAAGTGTGTTACACCCTGCGTGACGCACTAGTCGGAAGTCCCCATTCAAATCAATGGGGAAATTGGTGTTTTTTCACTAAATCGTTATTTTTTATGATTTTCTAACGAATTTTTAATATTTATATTTGGTTTGTGTGGAGAGACATCTAAGTACATTTAAAACTTTCATTATGTTTAACAGTTAAAGTGAGCATACTCAGCTATTTTCAGATTTGTCATGCGAAGGTGTAAGCCATTAACTTTACAACAAAATTATTGAAGAGGGTGATAAGGGAAATACGTCATGCATATGAAAATAGTTTATTGCCGTTGTTATTTATTTATGTAATGAATAAAACATGAATGTGACATTGTAAACACAGTGTTGTCAAGTAAAATGAAGCATCTGATACAAAGTATCAAACGCGGCACTCACGTATTTTTTTTGCGGTGCGTTCAGTACACTTTGTTTACACTGACAAGTCGAGGTCAGAAGTGCACAATTTTTCTGTATAATATTAGGCATTTTCAATTTTGATTAGTGGATTTTCTTTAAGCTGTATGGTCTTTATCTGAACATTTGTATAAGCTACGAAATATTTCTCAGTCCAAATTTCTCCAAGTCCTAATGAGTGACACACTTCCGGTTTTCGTCGAAATATAAGCGTTGCTGCTCATTCAGGGCGTTCTACCTCAAAATATACGCAGCCACTTTGATTGGAATTTACAACACTTATTCTTTACATGATATAGCACCTACGTTGGGAGCTTTAGCTGTCATACTTTTTCTGCAGTGTCCATTCAAATTAGAAAAGGAGCTATTTTCCGACGGTTTCTTGTAGGGCAAGTCTATGAACGTTCTACAGTTGTCGTACGAAATCATAGTCGACAAATGTCAAAAATCTGTATCAATCGTACAGAGTTTAAGACAAGTTGATAATGTGTGTTTATCTTATAAATAATTGTTTTATTTCCTTAAATTGATAAAGCAGACTGGAATGTCGTTAGAAACTGTTGACGATGCACTGAAATTGCGCAAATTGTCAAATTACATAATGACTGATCTACTAAATAAACACATGTTGGACTTTGTGACTATCTTATAATTAATATATTTATATGTATTAGGGGTAACACTTCTTATTATACAAATAGATTCCACTGGACAAAGTGCACTGGATAGATGGTGAGGAGTCATTTTAATGTTTAAAAAAAAGGCCAACAATCTTTTTTCCAGGACATAGGTCTCCGAACTAAAAAAAATTGAAGTGATTTTTATTATAAATGTTGATAAAATTATCCTTTGTTGGTGTTCATGGAAATTTCCATGAGTCTGCTCCCTGCTGTGTCAGGTGATCTTGCGTGCCCTCATCAGGGGCGCAAACAGATCAAAATACTGATGAGGCCTCTGGGCCGAAACAACTGTAGGGCCTTATATTAATTAACTTGGAGATATCAGATTAACTTTGTTCGGTTTGTCTTTCTGTATCAGCTACCCATGGTCTGTCACCATGGGTAGAGCACTCTTCCAAAGTGAATCGATTATATTCTCCGTGATACTCTCTAGTATCAAATATTTTATTACTTTTAAAAATTATCTTGTACATGTAACATATTAAAAGGAGAGTGAAACTGGTATTTTTAGGGCAAAACCAGTGCAAATATTGCACACCCCATATTTTTGCCAAGAATGGATATTTTTCCATTTTACTTCACAGAAGTTCAGAACTCCTAAGGGCACATTTTCAGACCAATTTTCATTAAAATCTGTTGACCCTCAACTTGCTGATTTTTTGTTGGGTTTCTTGTGAAATGGCACATTGTGTACAGTGGCTAGGGTGTTTCTTTATAAATTAAATATAACAGCTGTTATTTTTGCTTCCTGAAATTAGAAATGAGGTAGCTTGTCTGCCACGTACAGTGTCCACTTACTCTGGCTCTGTGATACATCTGAAACTAGATGGTGTTGATGGGTGGCCATCGCATATCCCTGCACTTCCCCATAGAGCAGCTCACACCTAGGGACCACTTACCACACACGCACGTACGCACACACATACACACATACACACATACACACACATTACTGCTTCAACCAAAGGTATTTAAAAATATAAATGTAAAAAATGTACAATGTTAAAAGAATTTAGAATCAACCACCCCCCCGGGGACAGCCAAACCCCCTGTTACACTAAAATTCTTAAGTGCCCATGCACCTCCCTGATGATGGGTATACAAATCACTAAAGTTTCAACTTCCTAACTCTAATGGTCTAGGGCAGATGGCAGAAATTACAATGTCTTAAGAATTTAGAATCAACCCCCCCCCCCCCAGGGTACAGCCCAACCCCCTATGGCACTAAAATTCCAAAGTGCATGCACATCCCTGATGATGGGTAAACTATTCACCAAAGTTTCAGCTTCCTAACTCTGATAGTCTAGGAAGAGATAGCAGAAATTTCAATGTGATAAAAATTTAGAATCAACCACCCCCTGGGGACAGCCCAAACCCCGGTGGCACTAAAATTCCAAAGTGCCCATGTACATCCCTGATGATGGGTATACTATTCACCAAAGTTTCAGCTTCCTAACTCTAATGGTCTAGGGGGAAATAAAAGAAATTACAATATGAAAAGAATTTAGAATCAACCACCCCCCGAGGAAAGCCCAACACCCTGTGGCACTAAAATTCCGAAGTGCCCATGCACATCCCTGATGATGGATCTACCAATTCCAAAAGTTTCAGTTTCCTATCTGCAATGGTCTAAGAGGAGATAGTGAAAATTACAATGTTATAAGAATTTAGAATCAATAACAATAAAAAGTATTTTAATAATAATAATAATTTATTGAGCACATGAAATGATTGTACATTTATAGGCTCTCTACACCATTAATTAAAATATACTTAAGTTTAAATACAAATTTATAGGCTCTCTACACTACTAATTAAAATATACTTAAGTTTAAATAAAAAGTATTTTGCCGCCAGCATATACCTTCAAGAAAAGTAGACTCAAGAAATTGGTATTCACTTTCAAACACACACTAGAGATGCATGGATATACTGCTTAGGGAAATGCATGGCAGTGCATATGCATGATTCAAGCAGTGACCTATTTCTTGAAAGGTCTTGTTTACTGCTGGTTAGTAAATATACTAGTATTACAGTTAAGGGAAATATTTTGTGTACATATATTCTTTGTATCATTCGAAGCTTACAGGAAAAATTGCATATTATAACTACCATGGGCAAGTGTGATAATTACAGGCTGGCTTAATGATCTTTGGCAGAATATGGTGAGAGGCCTAATTACCCATTGGACTGGGAAGTCACACCCCTTTGAGTACTTGCTGGCAGCAAGGAAATTATAGAGAGATGGAAAAAGAGGCCTCCCCTCATTTTCAGTTATTACCGTACTACGTATTTCACATCCTCCATACACTTGCCCCTGTTTTCCAAATTCTGTCCAAAGAGTACCCTTAGTCCTGGGTTTGTATTTCTCAGATGAGAGTTGAGCAAAGCCCATTTCAATAGGATCAATTTTGTCACATTTTCAACAACAAAGTACATACATGATAAACCATGTGTCAGTGCTGAATGACCAATGTGTATTAGACACGTATTTATTTATCTGCAAGGTTTTTTTTTTTTTTTTTTTTTTTT